AATGTGTGTAGATTTTAAATACTCTTAGGCAGGCTGCTGACTCACACGAAACGAGACTTAAATTGACGGAAAATGTCCACTGGGGGTATTATGAATTTACTTGTTCTTACAGTGGAGTGAGCTCCAAAGACTAAAATGATTGATTAAATGCAGTATAAATGCAGTATTAACAAAAGTTCAAGAGGGATGACAGCATCTAAGGCCCTCTTCACCTCTGGTACTCTTAACTCATAATTCTCTGACTCCAGATCCTGAAATTATTATAAATACCACAGTAAGCCTCGCTCTAGCTTGCTTCTGTCTTTCTGCATCATTTTCCCACCACATCTCCACCTTTATAGGTGCACCTTAACGATCTCTGCCATTAGCTCCTCTCTCTTCATTGTGGTGCAGGCTTCTTTGTCCCAAGGCCAGGTGGTTCGCCCTTAGCCAAGCAGGTTAAGACAAAGCTCACAATGCCTGTCTGCTCCTCTATAAACACTCCCAATTGCATTTTTAATTGAGTGATGTTCTTAATAACTATTCATTTATATGTGGTAGTGAAATCCCTTTAAATGTAGTTTAAAGGTTTAAGTGACGGAAACACCAAAACTTTTTGTGTCTGTTGTGTCAAACTGGAGACTCCCCACAGGTGGGACATACATTCATAGCAAATTAACCCTGCACGGTACTCATTTCAAAACATTTCTTTACTGGAGCAATAATGGTACATGGTACAATAATGGTAATTTTACTGAAAAAAATATGGTTTGAGTTCTGTGTTTATGGCTACATTGCCTATGCATAAGAAAAGCAAGTGCTATATACAAATTGTTTTGCGTGAAGATTTTGAGATAAATTGTTAAGTGTGACATTCTTTACACAGCTCAGAAACTACTCTTGACATCTTTTCTTGTGTAACTAATATAAATAATATAAAATTGCAGTTAATTTAAACTGCTGTCTTAATGCATTAGGCATTGAGCTCTGAAATCTCAGGTATCATTATAGCTTTGAAAATGCCAGAAGTCATCTTGCTTATTGCTGTATAGTTTTCTTTTTTTTTCAAATAAATAATTCAAAAATGGATGATTTAGCCTAAACTTGGGAGCTTTTCTTTTTTAATGTAATATATATTTATATACTTTAAAGGTTTTCTAGGGAATGAAGTTTAACATCATAAAAGCCGACAGAATCGAAATAAGCTTTATCTCTCTGGGGTCCAGGTGAATTTAAACAAGTGTATGATTGCTTCTTCTCTGAGTTTCTCAAGGTAAACACAATCTACCTGCATCTCTGGCTGTGTTTCCAACAGCTTGTATTCCCGCATGTCCTTAGGTAATACATTTTGCTGTTAATAAAAACTCTGCTCCAGAGTTCCAATTATATTTTCAACCTAAATAAAACATGCTGTCAACTAACTTCCCACGACTACAGGAAAAGAAATTGGCAAGGAATTTGTCATCCGCAAGTGCAGTCTCATTTAATTGAGAGACTGCCAAACCCCACCGTGTAATTGTTAGCTAAACAAGTACATGTATTACTATGTTTATATATATATTTTTAAATTAATGAAGATGAGGTTTTTTGAGGCTTAATTTTATTTATAAATTGTGTCTTTAGTGGTGCAGAGAAACCCTGGTACAATGACAAATTCTGAACTCTCGGGGACCGTACTGTTGGTGTGAAGCACTGAAGTCTGTTACAGTACCTTGCACTTTTTTCAGCAAAAGCAGAAACAATTCAAAGACATGCCTCCTGGGGTGCTCCTGTATTCACTTTCTCTTTCATAATTTTTTTTCATTAACCACTTTGAGCCAACCCCTGCCCTCCATTCCCCATTCCCTGTGACGAGCCTTGTTTAATAAAGCTCTAATAAATGCTCGTAAGCCTACAGTAAAAGGCTGTGAAGAGCCACCACAGCACAAAGGGGAAAAAATATAGCCCAGCGCTAATAAGAAACGTAAATCTCTTTTCCGTGGTCTGGAGAGTGTGCGGTTTGAGGTTCACAAACTACATTTAAAAGCAGTTTTATTACAGCACTGGTGAGAGCTACTTGGTGTATGCTTGTAATAAAACACACATTATTACTGCATTAGTCATTCTGCAAGTTGTATACTGTGCATTAAACTATGAAGAACAGAAGAACAAAACATTTAAAGCTGGTTTCATTCAGCTATTTAACAGTAATGGCATTTAATGTCATTGTAATCAGACCACCTCTAGTCTGATACCTGACTTTCAGTACAGACAGGACTTGGACACTGTCACCCGATTGATTTCTAAGTCATATTTGCCTGGAGTCACACACCCTGCACCTGATAACTAATTAATCCTCTGGCACATCTTAATGCATTGGAAAATGTCTGATATGGACTGTGTAATCACAGAACAATGCTTCTCCATATCGATCCCTGCAATGTGCCGCCTCTGGAGTGATCCGAACACAACTCTACCCAGAGTGTGCAGAGGCAGAAAAGCTAACAAATAAAGGTCAAACAAATATGAAAATGGAAAAATATAACCCTACTATGTGCATCTGTAATTTCTTTGATTCTTTGGAGCTTTTGCATAGAACTCACACAGTATCGTGTGCACACTCTTCTTTCGGATCTCAGCACTGATTGTGTTGCCTTCTTTTAGTGGTGATGACACCTTGGTGAAGGGTGTGGCACTGTCCATGGCTGAAGGAGAAACCATAAGAAGTGATATGCTTAAGTGTATCTTAAGTTTGCTATTTCCTCTATATTTTAATGAGATGAAATTATAACCAAAACTCTGTAGTACAACTATAGGAAGCTGTTCTACTACTAGAGTTAGTATGATTGTAGCTAGTTGCACACCCTTCATCTGATAACTAATGAATCTGGCATGTCCTAATGTATTTTAATGCATTTTGTTTCATTATTGCTTAATGCAATATATTTTATATTTAGGGTTGCATGTAATAAGAGATATATTTTATTTCTGTAAGACATTATGAGGGTGGAGAAAGAGGGAGGGAGGTCCATGTTTTATTTTGTAGTATAATTCAGTCCTTGTTTGTGAAGGGTTTTGTGTGCCATTAAGAGGTCCTTATATGGAAAGTACAATTTTCCCTAGTCAGTAAAGAGGATTATTGAAACTCCTTGGTCTCATGCTAGCAATGAGTTGCTAGTAAGAGTTTAATATTGAAACAAGATCAAACAAAATCAAAAGTATGTTAATTGCAGGTAGCAGACTATATTAAAAATAGAGAATTGCAGTCTTATTTTGGGCCATATTCTATAATAGTTGCTTTAGTTCACAGTCTTACTAACTCTGTTAGTACAGCTTTACAGCTTTCCATAGTTGTAATCCAGTAGTACCCAGAGTTTCAATAATACCTTCAGCCCATTATATTTTTAAATACCTAGCTACTGGGTCCAATGTAATAAGAATGCAGTGTTCTTGCATTGCCTTTTTGAAAGCCCAACAAGTGCCTTTAAGGTGAAGGCAAGATCTGGATATTGTGTGCCAGCAGCAGGGAGGGGGAGTTGGGGTATTGCATTGTTTATTGAGACAGACAGTTACATACGAGCCAGGCTCTGCTCCTGTCGGTTACCATTGCCTGCTGGCTGGGCTCCACCGGTGTGCGAAACCTTTAGAAGAGAGAGACAACAGCCGTTCCCCAGGAGCCTCCCCCACATTCCCAGTGGACACTGCATCTCTGCCATGATGTGCTTTGGACCCGGGCTGGTGAACTGGTTACCTAGCGACAGTAACCGGGGAACAAGGATTCTCAAAACAACCCAGGCTACTTTCAGCGACATTTAAATCTCTCGCCAAATTGCCCTTCAGCCATTCTCTTTTTCTTAATCTTTTCTCTTGTTCACTTGCTATTCATGCAGTTTTTTTTATTTTTGCAAGAAACTAAGAAAAAATACTAAAACCTTGACTATTGTTGAATTTTAATGATTTTAAAGTTTTTTAATATATACTCGTTAATGATCTTATACATTGATTCCATCATTTTTCTGTGTGTGGAGAAGTTGTTTCATTGCTTAGTTGATTGCCTTTATCTTAAAGAACAGATCAGATCAGATTGAAGTCTACTGAGCATGATTTTAGCTTGTGCATGTCATCATGACTCATGGTAGTGCCATTTATCATGGAAACCGTAATTGTAACTTGTGAAGAACACTGGGAAAGATGTTCCAGTTTATGGGTAATTAATTCTGCATGCAGAAAAAATGTCAGTGAAGAGTGACATTGTTTTGGATTGCGCGTTAGTATGCAGTCGCGCTCATTAGAAAACACCACACATGTATCATGGTTAGCAAATAAAGATGATCTGTATCAGGTAGGCAACATCAAAAATGTGTGTAGACAAGTCTTGAATTTCACTTTCACTGAAAGTTTGAGGAGTCTACTGAATGGATCAACAGTTTTCCTGACAGAGTTTAGAGTCTGTTGAAAATCACTCACAACTAAAACTGTATTACTATGATATTATTATTTTCTGGCGTGCTGTTTTCAGTGAGAGAATTTCGACACCAATTTGGTTTTACAATAAAGGAAGGGTTGCATTGCTCTTATTATCCAAAGAGTTGCTGAAACTTTGTGAGCCCCATGCAGAGTAGCTTATAATACAGAAGGGAGATCAGAGAGCTCAGGCCAAATCTGATGAGAATGCACAAAGACACTTCTTGCTGTTCTGTTGCTTGTGTGGGAAGTCAGTCCTGGGAGGTAGAGTTAAAGTAGTAGTTGGTTTTGTATATGAATAAAACTTGTTAATGGATATCATGTTGCCTCTGTACAATGAGACATTCATCTTTGTTGCAGTTGTTTCTTTTCTTGTAAGAACGGTCTTTGTAAATTGCACATTGACAGTGATCTTCCATTCTTTGTTTAAACAACAACAACAACAACAAGAGAAAAACTACCACTGACATTTATTTTGCTGTAAAAATCCATTCTGTTTCTTGGTTTGATGCTTTTTGATATATGAAACAGTACTTTGCTCAGTTGTCTTAAAAATTGTGGTTTCTTGTGTGTTGCAGGTAGAAGATGCCATGCTAATGTTTGATAAAACTACTAACAGGCATAGAGGTAAGTCCAGCTGGTGTTCCTTGTTGTATTTTAATTAAACTGGACACATTGTGATCTCAGGTGTGCCTACTTTAGTTTGTGATCTGCTTATAAGCAACAATCCCTTGTAATATACATTACACTTAGTAAATGGCATATGTCATGTTTTTTTAAAAGACTGTCTGTTTAGCCCATTTCTGCAGCTTTTGCAACTTAGCTTATTAGAAGACCACAGATTCTCCTCTGGGCAGACTTTTGTAGCCCCTCAGTTTTAAATGACTCTCTGTGTTTGGTTCTTCCAACTGGGGGCTCTGCTAAGATCTTAACGGTACTAAATAAATGTCAGTCTTGGTGTGAGTGGCAGCATGCCAGTGAGAGTTATAGATGGACTCTGCCTTGCTGTTCTAGGAGTCTGGACAATGTTACACCACAGACTAAAAACTGAAAAAACAACACTTTGTCCAGTGTTCTGATTACCTTTCTAGTAACGTTCAGATAACATCTAGTACGATATTTTTGCTTTTATTCTAAAGGGTTATGGAGCAGAGGGTGCTGTGCAGTCAGATAACAGCAGAGATAAAGCCCTGGAGAAGCAGTGTTCTTATCTCTGTTATCTCCTCTTTTATCTGGGTTTGGGGCAGGTTTCTGTCTAAGCAGAGGACTTTCCAAAGACAGAGAGAGCCCTGTGTCTGTACGGAATCCTCATCTAAAGTCTTAGTATTAACTATTAAACTGGGAACTAAAACAAAAGACACTCAGGTCTTTTTCCACTTCCTAGTCAGAAGGAATAGATTCTGTGATGAGACCATAATGCTGAGTGACACAAATATGCAGTTTTGTACACTCCCTGGCATGTGGTCTCATAGCAGATCTCAATAAGAGTAATGTTTCATTCAGAAAATTAACAATAGAAGAAACAGTTACAGATCATGCTGGTAAAGAATACCAGCATGCTGAATTGAATGAACAATGCTATACTAACAGCATTTAATGGACATGTTTTACTTAGTCATTGAAATTGCAGTAAATTATATCAGGGATGAGAAAGAAAATCCATAAGGTATCATGAAGGACAAGCAACTTACTCTGAAATAAAAGCAAAATAAGGAATACATTGTATTTGTATAAAAAATTCTAGATATATTAAAAAATATATTTTTTTTATTTAGCAAGTTATCCTGTGGCATCTGTTGCCAAGCTTGATGTTCTATCACACACAATCTTCACTGCTGAGTAAGATGTACCCTAGAGACCCCCCCAACACACACAGGCACCATTTTCCTTGCTAAAAGAGAGGTTTGTGATGGGCTGGTAATCCCCTGAGATGCTGCACAAACACCCCGGGGTGCCGGCGTGGAGGGAGACACAGAGTCTTCACTGTAAGCATGTAGGATGGGAAAGGTAAAGTACAGGATCAGGAAGAGAGGAGAGAAACTTCACACAGGGTCTCTTTCAAACAGATTTATTTTATGGGGATTAACGCTATTACTCCCCGCCACTGTTTACAGCGGATTTGCAGTGCCAGAATATACCTTTTTAACTGCCTGGGTAGGTTTTACTCTAAAATCAAGTGTTCACAGACCCTGAAATTCCCAATCAGTAATCAGCAGTTTTGACCAGACCTACCAGGATCACTCTGCTCAGTCTCACAGCCCCCTTCAAAGCTGCTGGAAGAATGTGTGACTCTCAGGAATTGATAATATACAGTATGTTGAATTGTGATGCATAGCCTTTCCCATATATCCCATATACGGTGTGTTACCGTATATCACTTAATGGAACATTTCTTTTTTTATTTCAATAAGTGCAAGTTAGTCTTTTTGGATCCTAATTTCTAAGACATGTTGAGGCAATTTTTTTGTCTTCTGTTTTTGTTTCCTAAAAATGAGTGTTGTCGCACCCTGCTGTGAAGTGGTTTGATAGCCCCAGTCGATTGTGTTTGTATTTTGTAAATACTCTCTGAGGGCATGGTGTCCGTATCTATGGGAACAATGTTTAGATTTCTGTGAAACTCAAATCTCTAGAAACCGAGAACTTACTGAAAGAGTAATAGTCTGCCCGGATTTCAGCTGTTGGCCCTTAGATCTACATTTCTTTGCCTAAATTTCAGTATACTTGCAGCTGCAATCACATGTACTGTATACATTCAGTGATGGGTATGAGCAATATGAAGTAAGACACTTATTTTTGTGGGTGGAGAAGCTATATTATTGGGTACAGATGCATTTTCTTTTTTTAGTTTTAGAATGATTGTATTGTTTTTCCCTTATTATTATATTTTTTTCACATTTACACTCAAGGCTAAATGGAGCACTTGAGGTCAAACTCATAATAGTGTGCCAATGATTGTACAGGCCTCCAATGAATTTACTGGCACGCAAGGTGTGCTTTGTGTACGGAAGGCATAATGCTGTTGAGCAAAGAAAGAGGCATCCTGTGTAATGTAAAATGGTGTTGGTATTAAGAAAAACAATTGAAGTTCTATCTTTTCACCAGTTGGACTGCTCCACAGACTAGTAAAAATGCAGTTGGGAATTTGTGATAATTTCTTCTTTTCATTGTTTTTTATTATTACTTATTGCTGTTTCACACAGGTAGACCTAATGAAATGACAGTGCTGTGCAGAACAGACCCAGACTGTGTGTATAATCTGCTGTAGTCTCTATAGCTGCTCTTCACAGTAATTTGGAGTATTCAGCAATGTCCTTCAAGCTCCACTCTCGAGGTGACTGATGAAATGACTGCTAAAAGACATTTTCTTTATCCTCTCTCCTACTGACGGAGAACACTCAGTACATTGGAATTCTGCACAAAGAAGACACTGTACACCATCTCTGTGGCATTTAAAGGAATAAAATAAGGATGATTGTGTTTGAAATTGAGCTCTTCAAACCTATCAGTCCTTGTGCCCTCGTGTATTGTAGACTAAAGTCGTGTCTTACTAGCCAATCGGCAGGCTGAATTTCATGTGAGAGGGGGCCCATTGTTCTGTATACAGAGACAGAGAGTGTCTCAGTGCTCTCCCAGGACCTGGGATTTTGTGACACTTTCATTTATGGATTAAAATGTCAGGTCATTTTCTTCTGGGTCAAGGAAAAAGTGAGAATTTGGTATAGGATCTAGACCAACCACAAACAAGTGTTTAGGCTAATTGGTATTTGGGTTACTTTAAGAAAATTGCAATGTTGTGTGGCCCGCACATACATACCCTTGACATATACTTCTATACTTAGGTGGTCAGAATATCAGAGCTGCTATTAATTAAAACCTTACTTTTCCAAAGATGAAGGTTTGAATCCAACTTACCTCATAATTGACATTAGAGTTAATATCCTCTTGTTTAACCCAGTACCTATTATTTATAGAAGCTTGTGACAGGAGAACATGACTGGCTCTAGTTCTTGGCACTTTATAAAGACCTTTTTAGAAGCATAACCATCTTGTGTTCTGTTCTCATCAAATCTTGCAAGCTAAGCAAGGCTCAGCCTAGTCAGGATTAGGAAGCAAGATGCCCAAGAAAATCTAGGTTTCTGCTGCAAGTGGTGCTGGTATACCAGGAAGTGGCATTCATCCAGCTCAATGTCCAAACCAATACTCCACTATAAATAATGGGGACACTGTTTTAGAAAGTGCAGATGAGACATTAAACCAAAGTGCTGATTACTTAGTTATCAAAGACGTCTGGTTAAATTCCACTCTGGGCTTGCATGACTTGGTCTCCCTAAGGTTACTTCTGAATTTAATTTTTCTGTGTTGGTGCTCATGTGTTATAGCTGCTGTGCTTCACCATGGTGCTGCATTTTAGGGGTGGATGAAGTGGGTCTCCTCCTATGTGTAAAGCACTTTGGTATCCTTTTTAATGAGAAGTGCTTTATAAAGTTCAAGGAAGTGTAATGTATTAGTATTACATTATGCAGACATAATTTACATTTATTTTTGATTTAGAATTGCTACTGTTTATGAAGAATCATATAGAAGACTTTTGTGATATTGTATACCATATCACAGTTCTGAATCTTTACAAAAGTAAAGCCTGAAAAAATATGGCTGATAATAATGCAAAACTGGGCTGAATAACTATAAATGTTTGTAATTGACTCTAACAGTTACAGCTATTGGACCTCTTCCATGTGCTGCATGATAATTATACTGCATAGCTAGGAGAATTTTTTATTTTAGTTTATTTTCATTTTGCTTTAGCTTTTTTTAACCACTTCTTTTGATCCATGTAATGGAGGAGAAGAACCAGTCGAATGGGGAAATAGGCACACAGGTGCTGAAAGGGGAGAGGAATTCTTGGCATTGTTCGAGAAGAACACAGCACTGGGTTTCTTTTGTATAGCCTGTTTTAAAGCAGAATGGGACACATTTGTTCTGGGAAGAGGAACAGAAGGCTGTATTGTTGGGCTGTAATCTGCTTACCTGGATTGACAGCAGAAGGATGACTGGCTGCTTCTATCCATAGCAAGGACAGTGTCAGTGTTAGACTGTTCTTTTGCTTGTCATGAAAGATGCAAGGTGCAACATGGTGTGTTTCTGAATTGTGGAAATTGTGATTCTTTCTGTATAGAGGCCAAATGCGTGTGACACAAGGGCCTATATATTGTTGTATATTGTAGCTCTAGTTAGCTGAAAGATTTGAGATCCTTTATATGACAGACTAAGATCCACAATAAGGGACATAAATATTACACATGTGCCATGGATTTTTTGTATACGAGTGCATAAATGTATAATACACTTAGGTTTCATGGATTTAATCAAGTGTTTAAACATAGATAACAAAACAAAATTACAGAAAATATGGACAAAAATACAAATCGAAGGGTCATGCTAATGTTTCAGTATGGAGTAGCTGTTATGACTTCCCTGAACACTTACCATTTCTTCCAGAGTTGATGTAAATACTGGATATGCCTCTGGATAGGCAGCTGTGGGATCTGTCTTGTGTAGCTGACAAAGACATCTGGTCACAGTTGTCTCCTATTGATGGCACCAGCAAACTGGTTCCATAGATGTTC